TCATCAGTTGCAGAAATCACTCGGTGTGCCAAATCACAGTCATGTCACTGTAAACGGGTGAACATATGAAGCGAATATATATATAATATATATATATAATATATATATATATATATTATATATATATATATATATATATATATATATATATATATTATATATACTTAAGTTATGGCTCGTTTCTCCTCCTTGTTTGACCCAATATTAATCAGATCTAACAGACAATAATGCCAAGGAAAGTATAAGGGAAGTTATTAGACCAAATTGTAATTTAAATGTGAAGAAAGAAAAGCGGGTGAAAAGATAACCTGCCGTGAGCAGGAATATATCGTAAATTTTTCAGTCTTTGAAGGTTTCTGATTCTAGCAATATATATATATATATATATCTATATATATATTATATATAGATGATCAGTGTTTCTTCCGGCTACCGTAATAAAAGTTATAACTTCGAGAATAGTGCAGTATAGGAAACAAAACAATAAAATATTTATTTAATCCTAACAACTTCGGCTGGTGGACCAGCCTTCTTCGGAGGATGTAAGTGAAATGATACAAGTTCCGTAGCAGAGGGTCACCCTCACAGTTTAAAGACCCTCCAAAAAAAAAAGAGAGAGAAAAAGAGAGAAAAAAAGACAAGCGGGCGAACGAGGTAGCAACAGACAACAAGAAGCAGAAGAAGGAGAGGAACTAGAAAGGAGCGACGGAGAGCCGCCGGAAACGAGCGGGTAATTCTGGCATTATATGTGTGTGTGTGTGTGTGTGGTGTGTGTGTGTGTGTGTGTGTGTGTGTGTGGTGTGTGTGTGTGTGTGTGTGTGTGGTGTGTGTGTGTGTGTGTGTGTGTGTGTGTGTGTGTGTGTGTTTACTGTGTACATATAAGACAGAATGCACCACCACCTGCCTACAGCTTTGACACTTAATAAAAGAACTACACTTATATTTCAAAACGTCATGAATTTGCTGGCTTACAGTGGCCACACGCCAATAGAATATTTGGAAAGCAGCACAATTTAAGCTGTGAATACAAAATGAGAAGTGGTTACAGTGAATTTCCGCAGATTAACAGGCGGTCTATATATACAATTGGTACTCTTTATTATGCATTAAGATAACCCCGTTCGCGTAGAATTTATGACTCTTAGGTACACGCTTTCCTTCAGATTCGCCCTCCCGGTATTGTAAGCACTTGAATCTTACATAAAAGAAGCCGAGTAACGCGAAAGCACGCGGTTTAAACAATACGAGCTTTTCAGAAAACATTATTTATTTTCTTCCCGCAACACTGACATGACAAAACTGAGTAGTAGCCGCTATACATGTTGTGACAACATTAGTTATACTGGGGTTTCTCGTGAACAATCTAGCGCATGTGGGCTCATATGAGAAACAGTGCTCTGGATATCGTAGACATTGCCGACATAGCGAGCGTATGATTTATTCGCAATATTGATACTTCTCCTCTCTTTGTAGTTCGCCAGTAGCCACTAATGATGTCGCGTAGCTCAAAGGGCTGCTTGAGTAAGAAGCTAGGTGAATTCGCTCAAACTACGACTTAACGTGTTTTTTTTTTTTTTTTTTTTGGTCGGTAGGTTTTTGAAACGTGAATGTCTGACGCAATTTCGGCATGTCTGCGTATTTATTCGTTCACCATGGCGCGTAGCAGGTGTGCATACACTTGTGAAGGCTCAGGAACGCATTAAACGTGCTAAAAACGAGCAATTACACGCTTTTGCGCAGGCGCTGCCAATGCAGACGCTCCTGAGATCTTCAGTACCATGGAACTACAGCGCCGCCGCTACTGTCACCCGCCGGAGAATCAGCCGAGATACGGCGCGGCCGCCTCGTTCACTCCACTGCCCCCTTCTAGTACACTGTAGTTTCAGGAAACTCTATGCCCTACGCGATGAACTCGTAGGAAGGAAAAACAATTTTTCCTTCCTCCATGCCCTACGCCAGGTGATCCCACCATGCCATCTCTCGCTCCCGGCGAAGCTAACTACAACGCACAAGCACCATGAGGCAAAAACGACTTTACAGTGGTTCATAAAACTCCTTCAATACATACATACATACATACATACATACCTACATACATACATACATACATACATACATACATACATACATACATACATACATACATACATACATACATACATACATACATACATTACATACATACATACATACATACATACATACATACATACATACATACATACATACATACATACATACATACATACATACATACATACATACATACATACATACAGCAGGCTGATGAGTGATTGGGCCCCTTCGAAAATGTCGCCCCACCCCCTTAGATGAAAAGCGAAAAAAACAATGCTTCATTTACAGGCAATTCTCATGAGCACAATGCCAGCGAAAACACTTACTAGCATATATATTTAAACTATCACCTGCCGGGAAAGAAAGAAAAAGAAAGAAGCAAAGGGGTTACCCAAAAGAAATTTCCTGGTTTGCTACCCTTCACTGGTGAAAGAGAAACGAGATGGAAAGTTAAAGCGGGGAAAAAAATAAGAATGGTTAACTAAGCAGACGCCTCTCACTGCCATTTTTAACTATGTATACTAACACACGTTTTGGTTCGTACTTTTTAGCGATGTGACGTAGGAGTCACGGGACAACATACTTGAACGCATATATTTTTAATAAGTGAGCAGGTAATGTACACGCGCATCACTACGAGTGTTTCTCTGCGTTTCACTTGTTTCTGGACACTCCGGCGTGGTCAATTATTACACAAGTCGAACAGACCCGCATCAACACTGAAGTATCTTCAGCTTCAGCGGTATTTCCGCTTCAACAGAGATTCGCCTCTGGTATTTTAATTGTCCATGATGCATAGACGAGCGCTCCTTTCTGAAGTCAAATTGCTTTCTTGTTTGATTCAAGTGAAGTGTTTCTCTTAACTTATAAAGAATTACCTTCGCGAATAGTTTGTATGACATTGCATGTAAACTAATAGCGGGGTTTGGAGGGCATAGCACGGTTGGTGTGTAAGAGGGGGGGGGGGGTTACAACACCCCCCGAAATTTTCTGAACGCCACATATACAGACACTGCCCTCCTTTTTTCCCCTTTTTTTCCCGTCCCCGCTATGTCGTGAAAATGTGAAAACGAAAATGAGTTCCGAATGGTTCTTGTTCTAAAGATGATGGCATCACTATTTTCAATCACTTCCGACTGATATGTCAAGATTGCTTAGACCGTCTGTCAAACCCGTTCTAAGAACGTGCTTCAGATTAAAACGAAAACTTTCATCGATCTTCGCCAAGGTATTTGAGGCCTGCCCGGCAGATGTGATTTATCTTTTGAGAAATTTTACTTTTCCGTACATTGACTGGGTACAGATAACATCTCTCTGCCGAATGTCTTCGGATTTTATCAATTTGACTCTGGACCAGAGTTGTTGCCATATACGAGCACGGTAAACAACTCATAACTAATTGATTGATTTGATTGATATATGGAGTTAAAGGTCCGACAACTACCAATTGATTATGAGAGACACCGTATAGTGGAGGGCTCCGGAAATTTCGTCCACCTGGAGAAATCTGAAATCTGAGCACACGGACCTACATCATTTTCACCTCCATCGAAAATGCAGCCGCCGCAGCTGAGATTCGATCTCGCGATATATATATATATATATATATATATATATATATATATATATATATATATATATATATATATATATATATATATATATATATATATATATATATATATATATATATATATATGAGATATAACAGGCAGATTTAGTATTGTGTTGAAACACGGAAAACGAGCCCTTAGGTATACACTTCTTCCCTTATATATATATATATATATATATATATATATATATCTATATATATATATATTATATATATATATATATATATATATATATATATATATATATAATATCAACACCTTTTGTTGATGTTGATCGCCGCTAACTGTGCAGTCATCTACACTGGTCCGGGAACTCCTACAGAAATAAACCGCGCAAATTACTAAATGCTATCGTTGCCGCTATTTTATGACGCAAGGAAAACCACAAGCAACCATCTGATATGACCGTTAGCACGCCTTGGCTGTGTGCAGTCTTCTGCGACCTCAGAGACTGACCAACATCTAAACAATCGGTTGATCATCGCTAAGTCGAGCAATACTGTTGTTTTAGAGACTAAGCGGCAGATTAGTAGAAACTACAACTTCGCCGCACCACACCGCACCGTGGTAAGCACACTGTAACTAAAACAACCTAGCTTTGCGGTTGTTGTGGCGCCATCTAGCGAACAAAAAGGTACACACTGGTACTCTTTATGCATGGCCTTCGAAAGTGAGCAGCTAGTGCTGCGTCAAATTTCGGAGGCTACGTATTGCGGCTGGTAACAAAGACAGCCTCCGTTTATGCTTAAGTATATGAGAATCAAAGCATTGTTAAGACATGAAATCAGAGTTTGTCATTAGTAACTGCAGTAGCATCTGTAGCTCCTGCAGTAACTTCACATTTTGCATCACCACGAGACACAGCGTGCCGAAGCAAACATTCAAGCGCTTCCAGGATGCGCTTTATTTCTGACGGTTTCAACAGTCAAAAAGTTGCTTCAAAACATCAGTATTGTGTATTCGAGACAGCGCATCATGTGTCTGTTGTCTATTACACAAAAATGTCTGCCACCTTGCGGCTGTTTGAGCGGAGGATAGCGCCGAAATCGCGGGCTCGGGTAGCTTGGAAGGGGGGGTAGCAGACAGCCAGGCCGCCAGACTATCAAGCTATCTGACCGCAACGCCTGGAGCCCGTATCCGGAAGCAGCGACCAAGCCGAACGCCAAACCAGCACCCGACACTTCGGCTACGCCGAATTTGCCCACAGCAAGTCATGTGACCAGATAGCAGAAAAATACAAATGACAAAAAACGCATGGTAGGAAAGAGAGACTGGGCGAGAAAGAAAGCGACGCATGCGCGAAGGCAGTTTCAGGCAGACGGCTGCATAACCTCAATCCTCCTGTTTGTTACCGCGCAGCGGAGCGGTTTTTGTTTTATATTCGAGTTTCCGATCGCCCTACATAACCTCATTACATGAAAGCCAAAATTTGGAATACTGTGCCACGATATAGAGAAGAAGACGACATCAGGGAAGGAACTGCGCGTCGCTCGCGTGGATTGGAGGTGAGGGTTTCTGGGATCTTGACCCACAATGGCGTCCAGCCTCGTAGCAATAACTATATTGATATTGGTTCTATTTGCTCGAATGAGAAGCCCAGCTCTGCTACGTTTCACTCGGCAACAAACACTTCCGAACTCGCGAGTGTTTGTTGCAATTGCTGTATATGCTGCCCTGCTTCGCTTGCCACGGAAGTCCGTACGGGTCGCATACGAGAAGTGGTAAGGTTGCGTCTGCTCGAGTTGACCTGTGTTGTTTTGTGTATGTGTTGGCGATTCTATCGTTCGGCCTAAGAATTTGGGGGAAGAATTGGTCTAGCGACTTTATAGTGAGTGAACACTTTTACCTAGTGATGCATGGCTCTACCTGTTCGCTTTAAAATAGGAATCATGGTTGTGACGGTCTGTGCTCCTTTTTTTTTTTTTTTCCTGCTCGGTTGTTTGTGCATTTGGCCATCCGCGTTGTTCTACTTTTTTTTCTCCGAGTGTTTTTTAGTACGTTCCGCTATTTATGGTGGCTCTCCGAGCTCCTTTTGGTTTAGTTGCCGCAGAATTATCACACGCGTGAACCATGAGCTGAGAAAATAGGGGAAACAAGCAGTGTTCGATATTCCCCTTTTATTCGATCTCCCGTCGCGCTTTTTTTTTTAAATCTCGCCGTGTTATCTGCGATAAGCAGATGCGTCTGATGCCAAGTTTGTCGCCCGAAATGCTTTTCTTTTAGCGTCTGCTCATCTGTAGCCGAGTTGAATGGTGACGCGTCGGGTTGCTCTGTTTTTTTGCTTCGGTGTTGCCTTGGTGCATGTGCCGAGAGGAAATGCAGCGATCGAACGGCGCGTCTTATTACGGCTGGCGCCTCCGAGTTTCCCACGGATGTTCGGCGTCTGGTGTACATACAGTGCGCATCTTATTTCGCCGCGCCGGCATCCTGAGCGGCACTGGCATGCTCACTAGAAAGGGGGATAAGTCACTCGTTCCTACGAGGGCGAAAGTAAGTTCGTCTGCTCAACAGGGAATTGCTTTTGGTGATAAGGCGCTCCTCTTTTCCCCTTCCCTTGTCCTGTGTCTCAGTTTTTACGCGCTACGTTATTAGTTCTTTTGGTGTTTCGTGTTACGTAGGTGGCAACAAGCGTACGCAATTAAGCGATGCGGGGTGAAGAAGCCCATCGCTCGCATGCTTGCTTTGGATGCTTTAGGGCAGCTGGAACACGCATTAGGGATGTTTAGAATAACGTTCGCAGGCGTAGCGCGTGCCATATCAGCTTTAGAATAGTGTTTGCCCCTCCTAGGGAAAAATCTAAATACTTTAGCGCCCCCCCCCCCTCCCGCAAACCCAAATTCACGAGTATCGACACCAGCGCTTTGCGGGCCGCATGCAATTTCGGATTTTCTGCGGGCGGACAGCGAGCGCGAACGGCGGCTCGCGTTACGACGCATGCGCAGTGGCAGCGACCGCACCGTAAGTGCATGCGGTACGCTATTCTATACACCTCTACTGTTTACAGTCCAGAAACGACAAGTTGAGGGAGTTTTTAACAAGCTTGGTAATAACTTGTGCGAGCAAGCTAACATTTGTTTATGGACATTTTTCAAATATTATTCTGGTAATAACTCGTACGAGCAAGCTAACATTCGTTTACAGACATTTTTCAAATATTTTCTTCTTAACGTAAGTGTTAAATTAACGTTTATGCCATCAGCTAGTTGTACCAGGAGGCACTCGTGCTCTGGGAAAAGAGCTTCATGCCTTTGAGGTCTAAAGTAAGAGGAAAAGAAGTGACAAAATGGTGGACTTTCACACTACAATTTTTTTGCATTGTTGTTGAGCTGATGAGAATGTGAAGGATACCTTTGTCGGTTTTTTCACATGTCATGGCTGTCACTTTGGGCAAAGCTGGATAGCAAAGCCTAATCGCATGTTTAGCTGTCATTTTTCTTTAAGTGGTACTAATCTTGGTTTCGCTATTAGATGCCTTATAAACGAAAGTTCTCAAAGTCAGTGCTTCTGCTTGCTTCCTAGAATAATCTCAGATAGCCACATGATAAAAGATTGCTATTGGCTCTCTCTTATGATTGCGATCTGCACTGTTGATGCTGATATTAAATGTTGTGCCCTCATGTTGATTATATAAACGCACTCAGGTGCAAAAGTTGGCAGGCTGATTGCCCCAGTTTATTACTAGTGCATTTTAGCACAGTCTTGGATTTAGTGCTCCAGTTAAGAATTTGTGGGAAATCAAACACACTTCGAGCAAAAATTAGCTTTCGTAAATATAATTTCTCGAGAGTTCTACAGCACTTTGAAAGCGGGCACGTGAAATGTTGCGTTCTTACATTTTTTTGCATGCATTCTTTTTTCTTTTATTTGCCTCTCTGAAGTAGAGTGCTGAATTGCTTCCGGATAGTGTCATTGGCCGCATAAGGGAGAAGCCATGCTAGGGTGGCAGTTTGCACTGATTTCGTTGTTTGTCTTTGGCCCATCATTGTAATCTTGTCTCTGGTGCCACATCATGTGCTTGGAGGAAGCCTCTTCTGATAAGGCTATCTGTGGGGTCCTGTTTCTTTTATCCTTACCACTAAAGCAGTGGAGACTGAGTGGCGATGGCTGAGATGCCACTGCACATACTTGTGGTGCTTGAGTGGCCACAGCTGGGATCTTGTCAGTTGACCTAAGGCTTTGGGGCATTCTTGATTGTTGGAGTCCGGCACATTATTTAGTGCTTATATTCATTAGGGTAGAAAGCTTTCGACCACATGAACTAGCAGCATTCTCACGTGCAAGTGTTAGCTCATTACAGCTAGGCACTAGTGTTTAGTCTGTGAAGTATATTGAAACATTTTTTTTTGTCAGTGCGGTCATGCAGCAAGTTGCTATATGTAATGCCAATTGAATATTTTACTTCCTATGTGCATGCATGTCATTACACTTGCAAGTCAAAACTATTTGACAAACAGTGTTTGTTGTCAGTGTAATCAGCCCCCCTTTAGTTGGTTTTGCACTTGAATCAGTAGGTGAAGTGCAAAAAAGAAAAGCGGTCGTATTTTGAGGTAAATGCACTTCAATGGCCTAGTACAAATTTGCAGTGGCTTTATGAAGACATATTTTTTTTCACTCATGATGGAACCTCCAACTTTTAAAATATTATGAAAAATAGTTTTTAGCATGTTTTGTTTGCTTTTACGTTATTTAATTGAACCGAAAGTTGTTTGCCTTTAGTTGCTGAAAAGGATACCGCCTGTGCTTTACGTGTGTTTTCACTTTGTTTTTCTTTTTCATTTCTTTTTTTTTTCATATATAATTTTCTTTAGCATGCTTTCTTGATTTTCTAGTCGAGCATTATGGTTTTTTTAGGATCTGGCTGTTGAGGAGCCAGCAATGTGCAGCAAGTTAAGTACCTCACTTTTACAACTTGAGTAGTGCACCGTCAGCTGTGTAGATCCTCATCTCATGGATGAGCACAGACAGCTCTCCAATCTAAAAGTGCTTTGGCAATGTTAGCACAGAGTGCCTCTTTCCCTCTTGTAGCCAGATAGGCGTCATCCTGTGGTATCTCACTCTTTGCCAAACTTTTGGTGAGCAAAGTACAAGTGAGACCCACTGGGCATGCATGGGGGCAACCGGCTTCTAGTACTGCCAGGAGTTCATTGTCACGGCAGTGTCTTTCTCATCTAGTGTTTATGTTTTCGGGTGGAGCAGATAAGCAGGCGCTAGTAAATACGCCTGAGGTAGCAGGAACTCGCCACTTCTGTTGCCAGGCGCGCTTGTTGGGTGATGCAGCGGCACATCGGAAGGTTGTGTACAGGTGCGAGGCCTCTTTGAGCAGCTAGACGGTCAGCTTGCTTATCTATGCTGCTCTAGTGCATATTTCTGAGGAAAATAATTAGGGGAGTGAACCATTTATCAGCCTTGCTGTGGGGCCTGGACGTCTCGTGGCGTTTTGCTTGGTAGAGCAGTATTACAATGCTGTTTCTGAATGATGTATGCACAGAAAATCTGATGAAGAATCTTTTTATGGAGATTAAAAACAAATTCTCGGCTACAAGCCTCTCCATCAGCATTGGCAGTGCTGTTCAAGAAGTATCTTTAAAAATAAAATACATGATGGTGTTTGTGCAGTATAGCTTCAATGTGGTTTTGGTTCAGTATGCTTTTGTTAAGAAGTGTCATCATTAACTAGGCCTTTATTTCAATGCTCTTCATTCAGTTCATACGATGTGTAGCTACTTTATTGGCTATTTGAGCCTCGCCACGGTGGTCTAATGACTAAGGTACTCTGTTGCTGACCAGCAGGTCGCGGGATCGAATCCCAGCTGCAGCGGCTGCATTTTCGATGGATGCGAAAATGCTGTAGGCCCCTGTGCCCAGATTTGAGTGCACATCAAAGAATCCTAGGTGGTCCGAATTTCCGGAGCCCTCCACTATGGCATCTCTCATAATCATGTGGTAGTTTTGGGACGTTGAACCCCACATACCTACCTTGAATTGCTATTCGGGTTTTAACGCTCATTCACATAGAATTTACTTTATGACTTCTGTTGAACATGATCGAGGCTGTTCCATTTCAGTTAATTAATCATCTGTTTTATGGAGACTGATCATTCATGTTGAGGCTTAAGTCGTAACACATTCAGCATGGCCTTATCCTATGACAGGCGTTCACCATGTTTGAGTGCAGTGTTGCTTGTTTGCCTTGTTAGGCACATTTATCTTGGCGTGTGTGTGTGTTAACTGTCTTCTGTGCCGCTTGTTTGCTGAAATTGTTTTTTTTTTTGCTCCTCCTTTCCTCCTCATTTTTTCTCAGTGTTTTCAATCTCTCCAAATGTTGACATGGGCAAGATCACCAACCGCCCCCAGGCTGACACAAGTAACTTGCCATCTGGCTACATCACCAAGGGTGAGCCTTATGTTACTTTATTTGATATAGAACTTGCTTAGTCATCTTGCACAGCCTTTTCTATTTGAATACCATTACTGCACTGTAGTGCTGATGGGGAAGTAATGGGGAAGGGATGTTATGTGAACTATTCTTTTAAAGGGACACTAATGAGAAACCATTACTTGATTTATATTGACAAACTGCACTCTGAGAACTCTAATGCCATATGTTTCATTATTATAAGTTGATTATTAGCGGAGAAAATCAGGGTTGAAGTTTCATTTTTGTATTTTGCACCAAAATCTCAGCGAATCACATTACAATGTACTTCATTTTTATCCATTGGAAGCTATAGAGGACCCAGTAGACGCCTTCAAAATTTCTTACATCGCGGTGTTTTGTTATGGAATTTCAATATGGCATCACCACCAGTATTTTCTTTTCGCACATTTTCTCATTTACAAAGTTGTGTCACGGTAAGAGTGGTGTTTTTGGAATTGTGAGTAGTGCTCTACTAATGCGCAAAAAATTGTTTTGCTAATATTTAGTGTCCCTTCAAGCTTACTGGTCGACTTTTGAGGCAAACATAGAGTTGTAGAAGCAGCTAAGCAGTGAAACAGGAGTGGGTGCTTATAGAAAAAAATGTGATAACTGACATGCATTCCTGCATGTTATTTTTTTGGTTTGTTACAAAATACTACAGCAGGCTTTTGGTGATTATTATAAAAATGACGTAGTAACTATATCAAATACAAGGCTAATGTAAAATGCATGCATGCACTTGACATATAATATAGCACAAAGGCATATGGCAAATAAAGGAAATGTCAACTCAATTATTATTAGAGCAGCAAATATGTGACCGTACAAAAAGATATATGTTTTGGGATGTGGGTATATATTTGCTACCCAATATTTTCTTGGCAGTTAAAACACTGTAGCTTGCAGTGTTCTGCTTGTACAGTAGACTCTCGTTAAATGGAACCTGAAGGGACCAGGAAAATATGTTCCATTTAAAAGGAGTTGTAGATATTCTATTTAAGCAGCAATTCTAATTAACAGATTTCTATTTACCATGAGTCTACTGTAATCTCTCCCTTCTCATATTTTTACACTTCTGAAAAATGTCATTTTACAGCTGAGTTATCAACTTGTAGCTTCAAAGTTTCAGTGGTTATTTTATTATATTGTTTCTTGCACGCACCATTATGCTGAGAATGGGTGTGAGGTGGCAAACAAAGGGATTGCTTGTGACTTCACTTGTTGGTTAGCGCTTGTGTTGTTGCCTGTGTTCATTCCATATGTCATGCTCTAATTTTGACTGTTTCAATCTTGTTCGAACTAGTTCAAACATCTGCCCTTTTTGTAACTGCTGTTATAGAGTACTGAGGATAGCACGGTGCAGTGAAAGAGGAATGTCTGAAGAAGGGGGGAGGGGGGCTATAAGTATTTACGGCTTTAGTTGTAGCATTCCAAATTTTGCTCTTGCTTGTCATTTGTTACAGCTGACCTGCATATCGCATCATCATTTAACAAACTTGGCTATCTCGTACAGAGACGTGTCATCCCTAGGTGTACAAGTCTGCTCTACCTACTTGTTTCATGCTCACATGACACTGTCACAGCAGCCAGTAGTGGCTGCGCGTTGACGTTACTGCAAAACTTTTCTGGCAGCATGTACATGATTACATTACGGGTCACTGTAATAACGTATCAGGAAACAGGGCTCTAAAGTCACAAGCTTTGTGCTTCTGAGTTGTTTGTGCTATCAATTTTTTTTTTAAGTTTTTTTTAAAGAAATATACTTTATTAGTGCTCAGGGAACGTTTCAGTTTCTGAAATGTCTTCTTTCTGAAATCTTCTCTGCGCACTAAGAAAATGTATTTCTTTCAAAAATGCAATACCAACCAGCCGATGTAGCTACTCTTTTGCCTTTTTGAGTTGTTTTACATGCCAGCCATTATCTTGTTGAGCTTCAATGTGTCCTTGTGTGCCTGTGTATATGCAGGTGCTCCGGTGCCTTTAGGACAAGACACATCGGTTGTAAAGGGAGAACATTATGGCCGGCATTCTGGGCAGCCAGTGAATCACAATCCAGTGCCATATCGAGAATTGCCATATTCCGAACTGAGTGAACTTGCAAGTGCATTGTGCGAGCAGTCTCACAGGATGGAGTCCAATCTCAGCACGCTTGATTGTACCTTGGACACTACCAACCAGCACGAAGATTCTGTGTCTTCTACTGTACGAGACATTGCCCAGGTTTGTTATACCTGCTCAGAATCGTATGACAGTCTTTTTCTAAACATTAAAGATGGGATCAATAAAGGACCATGTTTATTATTCTTTCTTCTTTTCTTTTTTTAACCCTTAAATCAGTGGTCTGAAACTCTCATCAGCTACCGAGCCATAGTCACAAAATTTACTGCCTCAAAGCGGCCAGGACTGTAAAAAAGTTGGAAGCAGGGTAGGGGAGTTTGAAAATGCTTTCATAAAAATAAAGGGCATTTCTATATCACATATATGTATCATTGCTGAAAGGAATTCGACTTAAGGATTCGAGAAACGTATCGATACCTATCTCCACAGTGATAAATATCTGGAGTAGTTTTCGTCCTATGCTTAGCTTCAACATGAGGTAACCATATCGGATGCCTCACAAAAAATTTATGATAAGTCATGCCTGTGTAGTTTACCCAAACAAAGCATTATTAATCACGATATATAGGTGGGAAAATAATGTGCTCATCATTTAACAGTGTCACAATCCGCCATGAAGTCGTACGTAAAATGGGACAAAGTCTGTAATGTGCGGGCAAGAAATTTACTGGTAAGCCTTGGAGCATTCTAAGTATGTTTAAAAAGCATAGCTTTTCTGCAGTACAAGAACTTGTTGCTGTGAGAGTTCGTAAACCATTTCAAAAAGTATTTGAGTGCAAACACAGCACATTCACACACACACGCACCTACACATCCAGGCACAAAGCATGTACAGCACTCCAAGTGTTTGATGGGCCGTGTGTTTGTGCTCATATAATCTGTGAAATAGTTTTTCCACAGTTTTTTTAGGTATATTCATTGTGACAACTGACAGCAGCATAAAGGACAACCTAGTGAGCAGAACTTAGTATTACAAAGAGGGACTACTTTTTGCATGTATGACATCAAAACACATTAGAAACTGAAGTGAAACCGGTGCTAGAAAAATTATTATAATTATTTTGAGTAGTCTGAGATCTGCTAGTATTTTTTTCTCTAGGGTATGAAATTTTTTGACGTCTCATTTGTCACAGCCTTCAAGAAAATTTTTGTAAAAAAATTGTCTTTGTCGTGTAAAGTGTAGATGTTTTAATTGACCAAATTACTAAAGCCATGAATAACAATTAAAACTTCTCAAATTGTGGGTGTTGTGCCGACAGTGTGGGTGCTGTGCCAATGTGGGTGTTGTGCCAACTAAAAAATGGGAAAAATCTAAAGTGTGTACTCTGGATATGTATGTAATCTAGACACATATATAATCTGGACATTGACCTCTGCACTGAATCACTAATCTTATCTAAAGTGAGATTTTGGTTACTGTTATGACATCTAAAGTGAGATATCATAACAGTAACGAAAAATTTTTTGCTGCTAGCTCAATGCTATTTCAAACAGTTGGCACTGACATTGATAAACACAAAAATGGGATGAAGCTCTGTCCCATCTTTGTGTTTGTCCCATCCTTTTCCAAGTAGCCTGGCCATATTAGTTGGCACACCTTGTGTTGTTCAAGTTCAAAGCTTTGAGAGCTACTTTTAACATTTATTTTTTATTTTTTTTAAGAAGACTTAGTTTTAGGCAGAAGTTCTTGGTGTATAAAGGTAGACATCTATAATAAGTGTAGGCAGACTTGCCTGCAATGTCTGTCACTTCGTGGCACAGCTTGAGCACATGTCTTCGTTCATATCTGCCCGTGTTTTTATTGTTTTAATTGGTTAGCTCTCGTGGAGCTGTGCACTCACTGGTATAGTTTCCACATGCAGGCTACATCTCCTTTCAAGCTCTTGCTATTCTTCAGGCGAATGGGATTTTTTTTATCCTGTGCATTTTATTTTCATGCACAAAAGTTGCCAGTTCATACGAGAAAAAAAGAAACGTTGCAGGTTCTATTGTTGTTCGTGCGAGGAGCGCTGGCATAGTCGGCCAGATGGTGACTGATCTGGCGTGTTTTCGAATTTCAGGATAGTGGCAGTCTCCTGCAGGAGCCCAACTCAATGCTGGTGCGCATGCTTCACATGACCGTAAAAGAGGAGCAATCATGGCTTGGTGCACTGGGGGGCAGCCCTTGCTCTGGCAGCCCCTCGTCCAGTCGGGCCAGTGCAAGCCCCCCACCAGACTCGCCATGCAGAGCCCTGGCAGGTGCCTCTCCTTTAGCTGTGTCAGAAGAAGCCACGCTCGGGGATGCCCCGCAACCATCCGAGACACCCTTGGCATCGCGTTCAGACTCGGATTTCCAGAATCTACAGACCGCACTGCGAGCATTGATCAAGTAAGTTTACTGATCCTGGGTGCAAGTAGGGATTTGTTGATAGAGCAGTTGACACTAATGCAAAGAAATATTGAGTCTAGCCTCGGAGCATATTTTATAGGCATTTTTTTTAACAATGATATTTATGCTAACCAAAAAAAAGAAAAAGGACTTCTGACAGCAACATTCTTGCTTTTGACTTTTTTACTGTTATTTGTAGCCTTGTGCTCTAAATCGACAAATTTGAATCGTAAATGCTCGTAACATATTACAGTAAAAACTCGCTATTCAGACACTGTTATTTCTAAATCTCACTCAATTCAAAAGATTTATGTGATTGCGTATTTTACAATGTATACCGTAAAAACTGAAATATAGGTCGAGCCGGAATATAGTTCAACCCCCAAACATTGAATCTTTGAAAAAGAAATTTTTGGAAATCGCAAAGTATTGTGATGCACTCTTACTTTGAATATGCGACACAACCAGCTGCACTGTGGTGACATTTCTTTTTATTTGGACACTAATCTTATGTAGTTATGGGCCAGAAGGCTACAAAGTGTTCACACTTAGACTCGTCTGAACTTGAGTCTGACGATGTCTGTTTTTCACTAGTAACGCCCCAGAGCGTATCGTCTTCCATTTCATCCAATGGATTACTGATGCAGCATTTGTGGAAAGATGGAAGTACGCTGCCTCTGCGCAAAGCCCTTCCGCTTCGAAAATCGGCACTCTCACGATGGCGATCCCTTGAATTGCACCCTGAGAGCCGAGAGCCTATAGTCGTGCGCTATCTTGAGAGATTTCACACAAATGCACTCCGCTGTTATGGGTAGAAACCTTGCACGCAGCTTCCGGACGAATTCGGCGAGTAGTGTTTCCAGTTCGGGGTATACTGCGTTCCGTCCACGAAAGGATATTTTTCTTTTTATTGCTTGCTGCAGGATGTGATGCGCTGCTTTTGGCTCCTCCGGCATCAGACGTTTTTCTCCGATGCACTGAATTCCCGTTGTGCCGCCATATTTTTGTGCACTTCAGCATACTTGATAATTTTCTCTTAAAGCCTATTGTAAACTGGTGTCGACTGCCACTCATTTCTGAAGGAAAAAGAAAAAAGAAAACAGCAGACTGACAGCAGATAACTGAGGCAAAATGGCGTTGCTAGAACACTGTAGGCCTTGCCTAGCTATGGTGGCTTGGAAAGGTGTGAGCATCGGCCTATGTTATTAGATGCTCTCAGTTGCGTAAGCGCGCGCGTGGTTGCAGCGGCGAGGAGCGACCCCCTCCCGTATCTCGCGCAGCGGCGGCGCTGCTGTCACTTTGGGATTGCCGAAAAAGCGTCGTTTGCTACCTCTGCATGTGAAACATCGAAAAATTCATTGCCAAATACATGGCTTTTAGCTAAAGCAGATAGATGAGGCCCGAATTAATTCTACTTAGTGATGAATAAGAACCGTTCCTGTACCTAAGAAATGTATGATTTTTTTTGCCGGCAATGACTGAGTGGTGTGGCCAGGGGGTGGCACACCCGACCTCAGCTGTTTTCTCCCCTCTCCCCCAAAATCTTTCTGCTATTGTTTACAGAGCAAAAAGTGACCCTCAACCACACTTGTCTGTCTGGCACCCCCCCCCCCCCCCCCCCCACCGCAGGGGCGCCTGCGCAAGTAGGCGTTTGGTGTGTAGCGGCACCACGGACCCGAGCTAACGGGGGAGTTTTGACGTTTTGACTCCCTCCCACGCCTAGCCGTGCGTGGCTTTGCCGTGTCCGGGGAAAAGGGGATCCTGGGAGTTGAGTTGACGCTGGGTGATTGGACCTTTAAGGGCCCCCGGCAGAGGCAACACACCCCTTTGGCCCTGGCTTCACGTAGACGGCAGCCCCGGATTGACCCGCCTGGGGAGAATCAGCAGTCGCCTTTTCCTGTCTCCCCCTCACATCTTCGTCTTTTCTCTTACTTTAAATCTTTCCTGTCCTCTACTCTCTTCCGTTGACTTCCGTGTTTCCTGGCGGCAAGGGTTAACCCTGCGTGGCGATCCTACCTTGGATACACCATATTCGGTTATGGTGGTGGTGTACAGCTGGCGTCTGCAGGGCCTGTGCTTACAGACCCTGCAGCGTCCCCTTGTAGGACTCCATGGTGGGTGGCTGGCGCCTCTGCTGAAAATAAACCTTTCCTTATGGCTAGTTCCTTCCCCCACTCCCTGATCGCCCTCAGAAAAGAGGGCGCACCGATGAAGTCTTCCAGTTTTTTGGTCACCAGAGAGTATCCTTTCCCCGATTCCACGTTATCCACGCTGACACACCCGGCAAACCAGTGAGAACAATTTCACCTCTTCTTGTTTCGAAGTCTTTGACAGAAATCTTTGGCCCAGGATATAAAGCATCGAGAATGGCAAGTGGTGACCTCCTGTTGGAGCTCCGTGGCCAGAAACAACATGAAAATTTGTCTAATCTAGTGAAATTTGGAGATACCAAATTAATAGTAACCCCACACCGAACCATGAACACCACCCGTGGCGTTGTTTCAGATGATGACCTGTTAGGGCTGACGGAGGCTGAACTCCTGGAGGGTTTTAGCGAACAGAATGTCATCAACGTGAAACAAATTAGGATGAGGCATGATGGCAAAGAAATCCAGACTAAGCACCTGATGCTTACTTTCAATTCAAGTGTACTGCCCGACTCCGTTGAGGCTGGGTACATCAAGCTTCGAGTGAGGCCATATATACCGAACCCTCTCCAATGTTTCAAATGCCAGCGGTTCAGCCACAGTTCTCAGAACTGCCGATGCCGCCTAACTTGTGCGAAATGCAGTGCTGAAGAATGCACATCTGATACCTGTGAAAACTCTCTTCATTGTGCGAACTATAACGGGGAGCATGCCGCATACTCACGGTCATGCCCATGCTGGAAAAAAGAAAAGGAAATTGTCACAATTAAAGTAAAACAAAACATTTCATTTAGGGAGGCACGAAGGCAGGTGTCCTACCTACCAGAAACCAGCTTTGCCGAAGTGGCACGTCAGGGGGCAGCGCCACGACGGCCCCCGGCGTCTGTCTGGCACACGCGTAGTGAGCCAGCGGTGACGCCATCTGCCCCCTCGGCGGTTGCAGCAAGTGCTGCTCCGCCATCTAAGAAAGACCCACCAACCTCCGGGCTGGGGGCCGCGAAAGTCTCGTCTTTTGAGGCGAGGCCCTCGTAGTAGAGGCGGTCGGGAGCCTCTACTACGAATGGGCAGTGTTTTCTTACCATGCTCAAAAAGTGTTGTAGGGACCCTTTAACGTCCCACAACCACCATATTATTATGAGAGACTCCATAGTGGAGGTTTCCGAAAATTTCAACCACCTGGGGTTCTTTAACATGCACCTAAATCTGAGCACACGGATCTCAAGCATTTTTGCAACCTATAGCAATATACTGCCTCACTGCATCAGTGCAATATACCGCCTCACTGCATCGGCGCTAGAACATCCCGCCGTATTTTTCTCCTGCAAGCGCAGCGGTGGCTTCACTGCACAGCCGTTGAACATAATGGTGGACTTATGCGCAACTCTGCTCTCATAGGGAGCATACAGTAACTCAAGGCCGGATTGTTTGGTCGCTTCTTCAACCGTGTTTGTCGCCCTTGCTCGCGAGCTTTTACCCGCGGATAGAACACACGGTGCGCGGGGGTATGCTATAAACCTTTTATTTATACAAGACATTGCGGCAATGGCAAAAGCCCGCCAGGAGCGTTCATATAATTTCTATTGCAATAATGAGGCTGTCTCACAAGTTAGCTGAGTGTTTGAAAAGTGCATCATTGAACAAATGTATCTTCACAAGTGCTTTGAATAGGGCTACATCTGCTCTGAATGTTCTTACTGCTCTAAACTTACTCGAAAAGGCCCTTTCGGTTGCCCCACACCTGCTCCAAATTGTCTTTCTTGCTGCTCCAAGCCTGCTACAAAAAGCACTTTTGACTGCTCCCAAACCCGTGTACCCTGTTCCACCCCTGCTAGTGAATATGCAGGTGGCAACAATAGGGCAGCACTATGGGGTAACATAAATTTTAAATAATATAGTTGTCGTCAAGATGGCGTCTTTAATATAATAGCCATGACATGTTTTTGACTTCCACTGTTGATCCTGGTACTAGCAGTAGCTAAAGGTCATCACCAAGGCTTCCTAGGGAGACATCAAAAAGTTATTTTTCCAAGAATTATAAAGTGGACATATGTCTCGTTCCATTTTGCAATGCATTGCAATTTTTGTTTATTGTGACTTAATCTTTTTATTATGATTATTAACTTTTTATTACGAATATTAAGCACTAATAAGCTTTATTACATTTGATATTTTTATTATGAGTATTATTGATAGAATTATACTAAGGAGCTGCTATGCCATGAGGTTAGTACTGGGATGCCTCACTGTAGTCAAATATCTTTTTCATACATTTACCTTCATTTCATGCATTTACCTTCATTTCTTTCTGACTAAAGTACTCCTGTTTGTAATATCATCATAGTCATTCTCAAGCATTAATCAATGATTGCTGTAAGCTGAACTGCCATTTTCTCTAGTGCCCCCTTCATGAGAGGAGCCACTTTCATTCTTGCAGGGAGGTGACACAAGCCTCACCCCAGGAGCAGCACTGCAGCCCTTCAAGCATTTGTGGTGTTGCCAAGAGCCTCCTCTCAGCAGATTCTAGCTCAAACCGCTCTTCAAGCCTCTTTGCTCCACCTGCATCAATGGTGACCAAGGGAGGCATCGCAAGGAGAGTAAACCAGGTCAGTCCAATGTACTCTGTGCTCTGTCGTGCCCCACGTCATTAAACTGGGCCTGTTTTGCAGTCATCTAGTGGCTAGTCATGTACAGGAGTGGTCAAAAGTTTCCAAGCTGCTATCCCATTTTTAAAGTTCCCAGCACTGTCTGGGAACTTTCGAACATTTCTGTACATGGCAGTGAAGCTGCTCATCTACAGGTCCTTTTTTATACGTACTATGGTGTGGACGTAGGCTAAACTCTACAAAAACGGTAGTTCAATATAAAGGAAACTGCACTAATAATGCATATATGTGATTTTGTTGCTTGTTTCTTCCTCTGTTAACGTTTTTCACACAGTTTCCCTCATAAAGGATTACCAACTCGTCTAACAGTCTGTTCTTCTAAAAAATGGTAAGCTGTGCAAGTTGCTGAGCATTCATTCTTAGGAAAATTGTAGGGAGATGAAAGCAGTAGAACACAGGACAGCCATTATCTGATGCTCTTTTTTTGTGTTCCTGTTGCACTTTTCCCAACAGGGAATAACAGGTAGTACATCGTAAAAAGTTAAGCTTTAACAGGTTCATGCCTGAAATTTCCTAATTTACCAGTGGCTAAGCTTAGCAATGATGCACCATTTGTTTCATGACTAGGCCTTCCTCAGCCAATGGGCGATAGTTGCTCAAGTACCGTATTTACTCGATTCTACCGCGCCCTCGATTGTAACGCGCACCCGATTTCCACCGCGAAAAAAAAAAAAAAACGTAAGACATCGATTGCAACGCGCACCCATTTTTCTCGCTGGCCCGCACGATCACACCACTCGAAAAAACGACTCCTTTCGGGAGCGTTTTCCATTTAAATATGAGGTACGGGCGAAGCTTGTGCCCGTCTGACGTGTAACAGAGCATTGCCGTCACTGTAGTTTTACCGTGGACCGATGTCAGCACGCGAACTTGCTTCGCCCCCTTTTTCTCGACGGTTGTGGTGCCAGGCATGTCGAAGTAAAGAGGCGTCTGATCGGCATTCCCGATTTGCCCAAGCAGGTAGCCGTTATTGTGCCGCAAGTTTAGGACGAACCTCTGAAAACTGTGAAGCTTTTCATCGTACTCCGTTCGCCTTCGGAGGGAAAAGCTTTTCCTCTTCATAAAGTTAGTTAGCCAGCACCTGCTCGCTTTGAACTGGCTCCGCATTAGCCCTTTTTCTAAGGCTAACTGCATAGCCCGCACTTGGAGCAGTTCTGTCGTCACGGGCCGCTGTGCCGCTCGCTGCTCAAGCACATACTCGCCGAGCAGCTCTTCAATTTGCGGAAATTGACCCTGCTGTGGTCCACTGAAGCCTTTGCGTGAAGCTTTGCTGTCGACAATCTTCTGCTTTTGTTTCCGCCAGTCCCGCACACACGTTTTGGGAACTCCGAACGACCGCGATGCGGCCCGATTTCCGTCCGTTTCTGCACACGCGATGACTTTTTTGTTAAAAGCGGCATCGTGGTGCACTCGAGTTTTTGGAGTCGGACGCCGTTGATGCTAATGCACTACTAGATGACGAACTCCTCAGCACACGTACAAAGTGCCGCACATGGGAAACACATAGGCAGAAATGGCCGACGCACCATGCCGACACACATAGGGGGCGGCCATTTTGGATTTGCCGACGGCAATAGATTGACCGTAATTTTTTTGTTCGTACTTGATTCTAACGCGCATGCGATTTATGAACTCGCTTAACTGGAAAAAAGGTGCACGTTAGATTCGAGTAATTACGGTATGCCAGTACCATTGTTGGCAGTAACACTGCACAAGTAGGTGACAGCATTACTGGTAACACCTTACTTTTTTCAGTAGCTTAGTAACATACTCGTTTATAATTTTGAAATTGTTACGGGCAACATACTTACGTTAACATTTTTCAATAGCATCAGATGTCACATTACTCATTACTTTTTATTATAATTATCCCAGTAGTTTTACAGAAAGGTGCTTCGTTTCATAGGCACCACTTTCACAGGGCTTGCCCCAACTTTCTTTTGTCACAGCAGAAGACTGCTGCTCACCTGCCAGGCATTAACTGCATGATTTAGTGCAGGTTTGTTCATATTCATTAAAACATGAGACAAGCTGTCCAATTACAACTTTCAAATGCAGCCACTGCTTCAATTATACAGCCAATTTTTGTTTTTACAAGGATCTCTCTGCAATACTCTAATGCCGGTTATCAATTTTGTTTGAAAAGCGGAACTTGCTTCTTTATATCGACTGCTGGCTGGTATACAATTTTCTGCAAACGAGCCTGATCTTGAAGACCTTTACATAAGCCCTTGCAACTCTTGTGGTAATTTTACTCGTTAAAGTGGGGAAATTGTATATGTGTGCAAATAATTTTCTTGTCAGAACTAAGCTGCGTAAGCATTTTTTTGTGGCTGTTATTTTTATCCATTGGTCCTGTTACACCATCAGATTTACTGTAAATTTGTTGAAAGTTGCATAACACTTTCCTTACGGATTATGAAATCTCCTTTTGTGTTTAACGCTACACTTAAAACAATAGCTTTATCATGTGTCACCGAGTTTGAAGTCATCACTACAGTTGAACACCGCTACAATGAATGCCGCTTCAATGAAATTTCCGCTACAACAAAAAACTCTCCATTCCTCGTCAACAGTGCATAGGAGTCAATGCATAAATTTCCTCGCCGTAACAGTTTTTTCTGCCGCTCCACTTCAACGAAATTTGATAATGCAATTTCAGGCTCCGATATTTAATTCCATGCAGTAAACACAAGTTTTAGCATTTCGATAAATTTTCAGGACATGAAAATATGTGGACGAAGTTTAAAACACACATTGGCGTCACCAGAAACTGCCGCCGTTTGTGGGGATGCTGATACCTCTTGTGAAGTTCTTTGCTCCACGTGGCGCACTTGTCTCGCGCAGAAGCTGTATTTCGGGGTCACAACTATTGAGTGGTAGGTGGCGTGTTCGCGAGCATTGATCACACCTATCATCATCATGGTTAGATTGGTTAGATTATCATCATCATGGTTAGACCCCTGGCGGCAAGCGTTGGTGGGGCACGAGAGAATTGAGCGAGCCTCTTCGACTGGTGGCGTTTGGCGCGAACGGTTGTATCTCGCGGTGGGTCCCCGGGGCACGGCACCGGGGGCCCGCGTGGGAGTCAAGCGTTGGCGACGCCTGTTGTGTGCTCTTGTGTTTGTCATGTTGTTGAGTGTTGTTTAATATTGTGTAACGATGTCTTAGCATGTTGATCACGATTGGTGTTATAATAATTCTGCTGACGATATCATTGCAGAAAAAGTAGTTAATAAATGTGTTGTTAGTTGGTTTGTTCCGACCGTGTCGACTGTGTCCCTCACATGTTTACCAAACACAGGGGGGCTATTATTGCTCGATAGCGCTAGTAATGAGACTGCCCTGGTTTCGCCACTGGTTTGCTTCTGAGCCCCAGACGATCCGAAGCTGAAGTTCGTCGCTCAGTTTATGGAATCCGTCCCGCAGCTGCTGGGTGCAAGCATGAACGATACATTTTCAGATGCCAATGCTTTTCGTTCTGTTTGCGCTTGGCCAGTGTGGTAACTAATCAGAGCGGCTGTTCGTCTGCACTATCAACAAAATCGGCCATCCGCTAGTGGTGGTTGATAAGAATAGCATAAAATAAAGCAAAAGTCCCCGCTTCACGATAATACGCCTCCATCTCGGCGTTCTTGTATACACTTTGACGACAGACAGCTGCCGGCACTAGCATGTTAGTGCAACTGATGGGTTTGTCACGAAAGCCATTATTGCTGTTGTTTCAGAGTGCTTTTCACCATGGCGTCGCTATGCATGAGTGAGAATCGCGTTGTGACGCTGCTGGAAAGGAAAAGGAAGAAGCAGATATTTTTTGAATTTTGGGAATAAAAGTTGTTTTGTTTTACTAGCTCAGGTCAGCTATATTTTTTTATTTCACTACAACGAAATTTTCGCTTCAACGAAATCTTTTCTGTGCCCCATCAGTTTCGTTGTAGCGGTGTTCGACTGTATTATCAACTGTACACGCAACTTCGTAGGCCACTAAAATATTGTAGCTACTGTAAAATTACAAGCAAACGCCTCCCCCCACCCCTATTTTGAAGGATAATCTGACCAGATTTGAGAGGAGGGTGCTTTTTTGGTACTGCATCATGTTTCAAAATAGTGGCAGGGGAGCCACTATAAATATAAAATGGCCATTCATATATGCTATAATGAAATTCTTTATTTATAAATAATTCTATAAACAACATTAGATACGCAGTCAGTGTACTCATTCGTGCGGCTTTTTTTTACACAAGTAATGCTCGTCTTGTAGGGGGAAAAAAAGAGGAAGGGTGCTTGCTCAGCATTTTATTACGGTATAAGGCATATTTGTACAAAGTATTCTTGTTAAATAATTATTTCAAGTAAAATAATTTATTGGGTAGATGCTTTATGTTAATATAAGTATTGGCTTTATAACAATGTTACTGTGGGTTACTGCAGCGTAGACTTGATCCGAATTTCTGACCGTGGAGTAACGAAGCAAGTAACCTGTGTCACTTTTTTTTTTGTAACAGTAATGATAACGTGTTGCCTTTTTTTTTTTCCTTTTCTTTGAGGGTAGCGTAAGGTGCTAACATGTTACTTTCCTGCTAGTGTAACAAGTTACACATTTAGTTACTTCTCTTTGGTAACACCTACTACACTGGCTAACACTCTTTTGCAGAATTTATGCAAAAAGATATGCTGAACTGATGCTATGTGTGTAGTGTTGTTAAGCATTTAGATTTCATCCATGTCATTTGTGCAACAACTAGCTCAACATCAAAATCTGCCTACTTCCATTTGTGTGTGCATGCATGTTCAGTAGAGCTGACGGCAGCAGTATTTGCCCATTATGTACTGTCTGCGACTTATGTTTGTTAACTAATGTAGCTGGCACCAAGAAAGGCGACTGTGGGACAATGTTGTGGGGAAATACTTCATATGAGCACTATGCCAGAGTGCAGCAACATTTTTTTTGTCATATCTCTCTTTTCTCCTTTTTACTCTTTTTTTTCTTTTAGTTATTGAAATGTGGAAAGCTCCCTCACCATTTCTTGTTGTGACGAGTGACTATCATTTTTTTTTTGATAATAAATTAATGAACAGCCATGCAGAACTGAACGTGCCTTCTAGTTCTTATTGTTTGCTATTGCTGGTTTGACTGTATTAGTTAAAGTTCAGTATCTAGAGCACCACGGTTGTAGTTCTTGATGTGCACCATCAAGGGAACTTTTGAACTAACAGATAGCACACTGGCCTGCATGTAATGTTTTAGGACTCCCATAAAACTACTGGTAGAAATTTGTGTTCATTGATTTCGATGTTTGTTAAATGTGCCATAGTCTACCGTATGGGCTTGAGTTTTATTTGTCAAAGCACCACAGTTTATCAGTGCAACCTCCAGCAATGTTGTGCAGAATGTCAAGTCTTGTTGTAAAGCTGGGCATAATAATAAGTAACAAAATAGTAAGTGCCACTATTTAATGCATCAATTTCACTGCTTTGGCAGTTAACTGCCATGTTATTGCATTTAAAGCTGAATATTATAACCAACTGTGTATCATATGGTATTGCCTCACTAGGAAAGAATTGACACCAAGACAGGAGGCCTTGTTATTCGCATGAAAAAAAAAAAAAGAAAGAGTGAACAGCATAGGGAAATCCACTTTATATGAGCAGCTTGTTCCTTTATTTTTTTGTGCGTGTTGAAGTCTTAGTGCAAGTATCTGTAGTGGGGGGTGCAATTTGTTGAGCACAGATAAAGTCGGGCTTTTTAAAAATACTGTTATGTCTTGTAATGAATTGAAAATGTCATAGATTAAAGGTTCTTGTTTTCTCTGATATTTGTATGAAGTATGCGCCTTCGAGGGTTCTGACCTTTTACCATGTTTGTGGCTGTTTCTCTTTAGGTTGCCAAGCGGCCCACCCTGTACATGTCCTTTCCTAGTCGGAGCCGGCGTGGAGATGTAGAGTTAAAGATACTTTCCCAGCCTGAAGAACAGCACCGAGCTCGTTACCTCACAGAGGGCAGCCGTGGAGCTGTAAAAGATCGCACAGGCATGGGCTTCCCGACTGTCAAGGTTAGTTGTACTGTTATATCCATTGCAACATCACTGCTCTACATTGTAAATGCTAAGTGTCGACATAAGCCACAAGCTCTCATTTTTTTACAGTGCAAAACATCACTAAATTTCTGTTGACTCAGCTTCTTTTCTTTGGCATAACATTGGTATCGTGAAGTCTGAGATGTGTTTTCTCGCGTAATTGGCGAATATTTTTTTGCTCAGAAAACTGGAGCAAAGTTTGGTGTGTGGTTATTATGCGGGACAAACTTTATGAAAACCTTTTTAGGATGAGCAAGAAACGTGGTAATGTGAAAAAAAAAAGTTGGGTCACTTAGCCTTTCGCAATTGACATACGCGTACACTGTTTGAAGACTATTTTGTTGCAGTTCACTCATCTTCGGTGGTTGATTGCGCTATCTTCTGCAAGCTGTCGCCGCGCCAACCGCACGCACCTTAACTCTTTCGCAACCGTGTAAAAAGGCCCGATTTTCGATATCCTCGATCTCATTTTTGGGGGGGTAATTTTTATTGCATTTTGCATTGTGATATACCAAATTGTACACTTTTAATCAAGCTTTCGAACAAAAATAACTACAGGCTGATAGGTATGAAACTGTTTTTTATTATATTATTTGTTAACAAAGGAAAAAACACATGAAACCGAACTAAACAAAACATACACATGCAGCTGAACAAAGCTGCAAAATTAAATTCATAATTCTGGAATATACAAAAAGTTACACATGATGTCAGCTCACATGCTGGAGAGTCTCGTTTCTGTATGTAATAAACTCTATTTTTCATGGCCCTTCAAGCCAGAGGTGGTGACTGCTGTGCCACTCAGAGAAGAAGTTGCGGGAGGGGGTGAAGCATGGGGGCACTTCGCATGTGCTGCACTTCTTATATGTTTTCTGCTCTACCTTCTTCTTTCTATAGCACAGCTTGTAGTTTTTCAACTTTCCATTTTCTGGGGTTGGTGGCGAATTGGCTCTAGACTTGGATATGGGGCACGGTCTTGATCAATCATTATAATCCAAGATCTGCTGAATGAGCTGCTCTTTAAAAGCAAGCTGGTCGAATCGGGCATTTTGGGCCAGCTCTGGGACTCCTGGGTTTTCTTTCCGATGGCCTTGGTAAAGGATGAAACTGTTGACACACGCTATGTCCACACAATGAAAAAATGGGGTTTTCCACCAGCGCATGCATTTCCTCAAGACATTGTAGGTTCCAGGACAAACTGATTGGCTGTATGAATGGTACTCATCAAGTTGATGGCGTGTTGGTCTTTCCATTGCATATATAAAATGTTGCCATCACGAAGCCACCGAACGTCTCCACGCTGAGCTCTTCGTTCCCAGGCAACATTCTTCAGCTCAATTGGGAAACATCGGTGATCTTTTCTGCTGGTACCACAGGCAAGGGTTTTGCGCTCCAGCAGATGGTCAAAAAGTTTCGCAGAGGTGTAGAAGTTGTCCATGTAAATCCTGTACCGCTGGTCTAGATACTCTGAGCATAGGCTGCTGACCACATCAAAGGCTAGGCCATGTGGTCCTGGTCTTTCACGCTTGCCTGTGTATACAGAGAACTGTAGGGTATACCCTGTTTCGGAGTCAGCTAGCTTCAATATGGACTCCGGGCTGTTGCTTGGGCTCAAACTTCTTAAAGCATTGGGCAAAATATCTCCACCATATGTTGCGGCGACACTAAGGAAACAAAATAAATAACTGTCGTCAGTTATAAAGACCGCATACTGCATTTATACATTGTGAGTGCTAAAACAAAACTTATGTGCGCACAGTGGCTGATGTCCCCGGCTGCTGTGATGAAATGTCACTGTCTGAACTGAAGTCCAATGATCGAACATCATCACTAGACTCCTCACTGCTGCTGTAGTCAAAAGAATCGGACTTTGAAGCGGCCGAAGAGCTCGGTTTTGCCTTTTAGCATTGAGGAGCGCGCGATGGCGCCGCATCCATGATTTCCAAACTACGTCGTCACCCTGACTCGAACTTATATTATTCTCAGTGCCTCCTTGCGGTAAAAACAGGAAAACGAAATCGAACACGAAACTATAGTTATTTTTGAACACATCAGAGGGCGCCACACGTCCGCAGCCACTGAAACAAAGTTTTGGCGGTGCATTTAAAAAACGTCGATACCATGGGATCGACGCCCTATGGCGCAGTTGCGAAAGAGTTAAAAGCGTTTCGTGGCTATCTTTTTTCGCAATCGTTTAACCGCAGCAGTGGTGATCTCGAGGGGCACCCAGAAACGTGTGCTACGACACACTTAGCCAACTTCGTGGCAACCTCGCTTGACGACCGCACCGCCACCATTGACATAGTAGCAAGTAACCAACATTGCAGCAGGCTACAACTGCAGCATCATAACAATTCATCGATAACAAGATTAATGACAAAATACGGCTTACGCCTTGCTGTCCACATGAGAAGTTACTGTAAAAAAGGTAGCTTATAGCTTGCGTTCCTTAAAGTACGCACGAATAACAAGCACGAGCAAATTGCAATCGAAGGGAGATTCAGGGGTGCTATCTTGTTGTGGAAATATTCGGATCTTTCCTGGGCGACAAGCGATTTTTTTTTCTAGTTTTCCAGAAACCAGTGACGAATGGCCCTTCGCGACAGCCGTGGCGACAGCCAATCCTGTTGTCGTCGCTCAAAAATTGCACGCATGTGGTTGAGCCTTAAAGTTTCGCATTTGTACGAAGCGACCATCGGTTGGCGCCGGCAGTTTCGTGACCTTCGCTAGCTGTGTGCTCATCAGCTGTGATGTCTACACTCACACCATTCGTGAACCCTGCTGTGGCACATAGATAATTAAAAAGCACTGTGGATGTGCCACGCGCAGATGAAAAGAAAAACAATTCGGTGTGAGGCAGGGGGTGGAGGCAGGGAGCGAGGGAGCTGAGGTGGTTGAGGGGGGTCGGAATAATCATAAAAAAATAACAGATCCAACGGGCAAGGAGGCGCCATGTGTTGGTTAGTGGGACTGCCGCGGATGAATGTAGGGGGTGCATTTATTACCCGGGAAAAACAATCCAAATTATGACTGAAGTTGGGAGTACGTTTAATATGTGAGTATGTTCATTACGTGAGTAAATACAGTACTCTTAACTAAAGGATCTCAACGCTGGGTTAGTTGGTACATTACTTCGAATAAACTAGATGCTGAATCTCTACGAGAGGAAAATAAAGGCAGAAGAAACAGAAGTGGCCCCTTCTGTTTCTTTTGTGTGTTTTTTTTTCTCTTATGGGGGTTTGGCGTATAGAGTTGATCCTGGTTATATTGAAATCGGATATATTGAATTATTTGCTAAATCGAACAGTTCATAAATCCTTTTGAATTTTCTATGCAAAATTATGGGACCGTTGCACAAGTACATTGAACTCCAACAGAGCGTAACATACTATATATCGAATGCTGCACCATGCTGAACCCCAGAAAGTGCATTTACCGTATTTACTCATGTAATGAACGCACTCACATAATAAACGCACCCCTGACTTCAATTGCCAAAGTTTTTCTTTTCTCCGCGTAATAAACACACCCTCTATATTCAACCGCTGCAGTCCTGCGAAGCGACACTTATTTATTTATTTATTTATTTATTTATTTATTTATTTATTTATTTATTTATTTATAATACCCTCAGAATAGAAGAAGTCAGAAAAGCTTTGGAGAGCATGCAAAGGGGCAAAGCTGCTGGTGAGGATCAGGTAACATCAGATCTGCTGAAAGATGGAGGACAGATTGTGTTAGAAAAACTAGCCACCCTGTTTACGAGGTGTCTCCTGACGGGAAGAGTACCAGAGTCTTGGAAGAACGCTAACATCATCTTAATACATAAGAAAGGAGATGACAAGGACTTGAAGAATTACAGGCCGATCAGCTTGCTCTCTGTATTATACAAGCTATTTACAAAGGTAATTGCTAACAGAGTAAAGAAAACATTAGAATTCAATCAACCAAAGGAACAAGCAGGATTTCGAACAGGCTACTCAACAATTGACCACATTCATACTATCAATCAGGTAATAGAGAAATGCTCAGAGTATAACCAACCACTATACATAGCCTTCATAGATTACGAGAAGGCGTTTGATTCAGTAGAAATATCAGCCGTCATGCAAACACTGCGGAATCAGAGCGTAGATGAAGTATATATAAACATTCTGGAAGAAATCTACAGGGGATCAACTGCTACCATAGTGCTTCATAGAGAAAGCAACAGAATACCAATCAAGAAGGGTGTAAGGCAGGGGGACACAATTTCCCCAATGCTGTTTACCGCGTGCTTACAGGAGGTTTTCAGAAGCCTAGAATGGGAACAGTTAGGGATAAGAGTCAATGGAGAATATCTTAGTAACCTGCGCTTCGCCGATGACATTGCATTGCTGAGTAACTCGGGGGACGAATTGCAACTCATGATTACGGAGTTAGACAAGGAGAGCAGAAAAGTGGGTCTTAAAATTAATCTGCAGAAAACGAAAGTAATGTACAACAACCTCGGCAAAGAGCAGCGCTTCGAGATAGGTAATAGTGCACTTGAAGTTGTAAAAGACTATGTCTACTTAGGGCAGGTAATAACCGCAGAGCCGAACCACGAGATTGAAGTAACTAGAAGAATAAGAATGGGGTGGAGCACATTCGGCAAGCACTCTCAAATTATGACAGGTAGATTGCCACTATCCCTCAAGAGGAAGGTATATAACAGCTGTATCTTGCCGGTACTTAGCTACGGAGCAGAAACCTGGAGACTTACAAAGAGGGTTCAGCTTGAATTGAGGACGACGCAGCGAGCAATGGAAAGAAAAATGGTAGGTGTAACCTTAAGAGACAAGAAGAGAGCAGAGTGGATTAGGGAACAAACGGGGGTTAAGGATATCATAGCTGAAATCAAGAAGAAGAAATGGACATGGGCAGGGCATGTAGCGCGTAGACAGGATAACCGCTGGTCATTAAGGGTAACTGACTGGATTCCCAGAGAAGGAAAG